TGTTCTTGGTTCTCATCTGAACTCAGGAGCTGGGGAGGTAGCTGAATCAGCTGAAAACTATTTCCAAAAACAAGCTATCCTGTGTAATTTTCATGTGAGAAGAGTATAGTTTAGTCACATGCATTTTATTATTTACAGAAAATGAATAATACAACTATCCGAAATTTAAGCAGCAAAACATTTCACACAATGATACCTTGCCCTCAAACTCATTCTTGAGACTAATTTTGCTTATTGGAAATACCTTACAAGTTCTCAGCTACATTTTCAACTGTGGTAAGAGAGGAACATTTTAGAAAAGAAGCTTCACCATTTCTTCACAAGCACCCTTCAACTTGCACACTATAATTAAGAAAGGATCTAGTGAAAAGGTGGTAAACTACTCCTAAACAAGAGTAATTCATAATAAAACTTGAATACTAACACCTCTAACCTCTCACTAACACGACCAAGATTTTACTTACATTATTATCTATTGTCTCCTTTAGTCTTGTGAGATCTTCCATGGCTGCATCCCAATTCTGCATCAGAATTTCAGATGCCAGCTTTCCCCACAGAGAACTCAAAGCATTTCTGTCTGTTGCTGGAACCTATTTTCAACAACAGCAACAAAGTCATACTCTTAGTAGTTTTTAATTATTGTTTACATTAAAAATATATGAAAAATATTTTCTGGCAGTATTTTTAATTTGCAACATATCAAATTTGCACAGTCCTTTTAAAAAAACCCAACAATTTAGGTACAGAAGAAAAAACAGCATTAAAGCTTCTGAAGTAGAAATTAGAAAATCCTGCCAAAGTAAGAAAGCTCCATGCTGCTGTGGTTTTAAGTTAAAAGAAAAATTGAAAAGGCTGAGTACCAGATGCCACACTTTTTTTTCCCCCCACACCATATAAAAGTGCTTCTAAACTACTAAAACAAGGTTATTACAAAGCAGGTTCCTCAAAAACTCATGACAGTAGGTAACCACCTTAGAAACACCAGTACTCAGTTCTTTCTGCTAATACTGTACCAAAAAGCATACTTCTTACAGAAGCATCCAGTAGAACTGCAACTTTGCAGCAGTCAATCTGTTTCCTGGAAGGGTAGTCCTGAGGTCAAGCTGTGTCAGTTTTATAGAGGAATGAATTACACTAGGTCACTCACAATGTCAAATCCTGTTCTCAGATGAGTTACAATAGTTCTTTCATAGGTTATGTTTCATCACACAGAACTTTAAACAAATCTTCCCCCATCTGAATTAGTAACAAAAGTCATTACCAGCACAAAAACAGTACTTCACTTTTTAAAATTAGTTATTTGACATATAAGAACACAATGCTAATCCCAGAATAAAGGCACAAGAATTAAGGACAGCTGCCCACAAACCTACATGCGTAACTTATTTCCCCTCTCAGCACACGGAATGTACCTGTAACACTGAAAGTCAGCTTCATCATCAACATTTAGACTATTCTGATGAAAGATACATTTCCCAATTTTGCTTAATTCTACTCAATTACAGAATTTGTTATTTACTCTAGTAGTATTTCAGAGATTTAAGGATATTTTCAGATGGGACTAGAAAGTAGACAGCAAGAAACAAACCGCAGCATATGAGCCACCACGTATTTTCAACAGTCACTCCACGTATCCATGAGATACAGATTTCAGGAGTCATTTTCCAGGCAACCAAGGTGCCAATTTAGCAGATACTAATAGATGAGGAGGTTCACACACACTGTGCTGGTTCCAAATAATGTAATTACAGTTAGCTATTCACAAGAACTGCATTTATATTCTACAGCTCTTCTAGCTACAGTATCTGGATTTTCAAGTAGTTACCTTAAATTTCCATTTGTTAGTAAAATGGCACATTCACTGACCACCAACAATTAAATTTACTGTGTTGAGATTCTTACAGGACACTAAATCTTCCTTCTCAAAATTCACTGCCACCATTAACAAATGATATGAATTATAACAATATGAAGAGAGTTGCTTCAGAGAGGATGGATCTGGTTCTACAATTCTCATTTCAGCTTTTTATGTTTCCTAGGCAGATGACTTATACTCTTAAATCCATCACAAAACTCAAGAGAAGACAGATGAGAGTTCAGATTAGGATCTGGCAGTTCACCATTACCACCAATTACATTCAATTCCCCTGCAAGCTTCTCACTACTGCCGATTACGTCTGTGCACAAAAACAAGTATTCATTTTGCTGTTTGGTTTGGTTTTTTCTTTTAACATTTTTTCCAGGATACATTTAAAACAAGGAAAGAAGAAATACTCAGTAATTAAATGTTACCACAAGACTGACAAATTTAAAAGACAGTTCTGAATTCAGTATGAAAATTAACAGAATTGCTGGACAGTAGTCAGTGGTTATTAACAATTATTTTCAACTTTTCTTTGACGCACAGCAATTGTCTCAAAAAAGCTCAAAAGTATTAAAAAATTCATACAGACAACTTAATAGTCTAAGTATTTAAGTGAGAAAAAAAAAATCCAACAAACCACAAAACAAAACTCCAAACCAACACAGACCCCAAACTTACCAGAACCCTAAAGAAGTAGAGATACTCTGCAGCTCCTGAGTAATTACCACATTCATACTGGAATTTTGCGTACCTGTAGAGCGTATCTAGGTACTCCTGCCTAAACTGAAAAGGAATACAAAAAAAGGTTTTCACTAGGAAAAAAGAAACATGCTGTTACAACGCAAGTTTAATAAAAAGTAACCTTTGAAGTCTTTAGGTTCTTTCAAAGACACTGTACACAGGAAAGACAATAGAAAACTATTGTAACTCTTAAGCCATGCCACCGAATCAAAGCTTAGCCCAATACTGGAGAAAAGGTGAAATTCTGCATTACAAAGTAAAGCATATCTTAGTTACAAGGATGCAGCTAGCATTAAATTCCGGCTTAATTTTTGTTTGTATACAAAAGTTCAAAAGCATTCAAATAAAATATGTCAGCGTTAGGAATTCTGACTATTAGCTACAGTGACATGAGACAGGCCAAAATGCTAGTCCACAATTGCTCAAAGCTGTTGGCTCTGAGGAGGGTTGCGTGAAGATACTTAAACCAAATTCAGATATAAGAATTAAAACACTTACACCATGCTTCTCAGCTAAATAGTCAAACAGCATCCGACCGTCCCTATAATAAAAAGATTAAAACTGCTGTTTTTACAAAACGGATTGTCACCATGCAATATGCTATGCAACACAACCTTTAGCTGTTAAAATACCCAAATAGAACATAAATTTAAAGTGATACTTCATAGAAATAGTAAGCCAACTATTCCTAAAGTGTCACAAAGAAATTTATTTATTTTAAATAAAGAATGCCACCTGCAACAATAGCTAGAGTTAAGAAAGGGCTGAAAGTCATTTTAAATTTGATGGCATCCTTAGCTTTCAGTGTGAAAGTAAAATTCTGACTCAGAGCTCTTGCCACTCTCATGTTCTAATTCCAGAGCAGTTACTCTAGCCAAGCAGTTTGAATTTAACAGAAGACAGGGGAAAAACATGGCAAAGACCAAAGTAAAATAGGAAAGGAAACTTAACCCACTGTTAGCACTGGGACACAGGGGTTAGCAAGAGTACCTCTGCCACAGCAAATGTCTGCAGAATGCAAAACTATAACAAAATAATCATACTAAGGGTAAGTTCCAAACATCTAATTCACACATGATCACATTTTTAAAGCCTTTTTTTTTGTTCAACATGATTAATAAAGGGACAAGCAGTATTATCTAGTTCAAATGAAAGTTCAAGTCTCCAGCAGGCAAGCATGAAATTATCTACCACCACCAAGTCTCATATTAAGGACTTTAAATATCTATTTTTAAACAGCTAACTTAGTGAATAATTTTTTATGCAGTCTCTACAACGGATTTCAACCAGCTCTTCAAGTGAAATTTTCGCACACCAGCTTCTCAATGCAGTAAGAACTCATTCAAACTCTGCTGCAATCATCCAACAAGAAGCACAGTTCAATCTGGATTAGAGCTTCTGTTGAGCCAATGAACAAAACCAGTACTGGAGCGGCAAAGCTTTCAGACATCTTAACAACAAAAAACGCACCCGTTCTGAAACAAAACTTGCTGCATATGAGTAGTAGAGCTAATATTTTATACCACTGTGCAAGCTATATTCCATGTGTTTTTTGATTGTATCTCTTGCTTCCAAGCAGGGTGCTTCTGATTTGACAAAGTACTACTGACCAACATCTGTGAATCTAAGGTCAAGTACCAAAACACATTTCCCAAGAAATGCTAGTACTTAGAATCGTAATAAGGTAAATTTTTTTCTAGGCCAGATGTTATTATAAAAACTGGATAAAAGCAAAGCAAGAATTGATCAAGACCTCTATATATGGAACAGAACTTCAATTAGATTTTAATAGAATTGTGATGGTATCAGTAAGTCTTTTCTTTAACATTAAGATAGTTCCAGTTAATAACTTACAGGCAGTTAACTAGGGGCAATTGGGCCTTCCACTTACAAAGATCTACTTCCAAAAGCTGTCAAGTTGCTCCTAGCTTTGCATAACTACTCAAGCAGTAAGCAAATGCAATTTATTTTCTTTATATAATTACCTGACATAAATACCCATGCTGAAATCAGATACAAAGCTGGCTTACTTATTCTAACAGTGCTTTTTACAGCAGAAACTTAAATTACACTCTGGTGATACCAGGGCAGAAAATAGAAGCTTTTTTCCAAGTGCTGGAGAGCTAACAGATTTCATGGCTTCTACTGACGTCTTCTTTCATGTGTGCACTGAGACCCAACACAGTGCACCTCAGCATTTCTGCACTGACTAAATTCTAAATCAGACTATAACAAATTCTGAAAACAATGTACAGAGTGGAGAAAACAGGCCACAAGGGTTGATTAGTTTTCTCAGCAAGTTGGGCAAAGAGGGAAAAGGAAAAAAAGATTATAATCTGCACTTCAAACAAGGAGTAAAATCTAACCAAGTTCCTCCCCCTGCAGGGACCCATTTTCTTCTCTGGGGGTTGTTCCCAAGCAGAGGTACACCTCTTCAAGATTTCCGCAGACTACAAAAAAGGAGTTTGTCCATTCAATGTTTTTCTAAGAAAAGTCCATAAGCAATGTCCATATTAGTAGATGCATAAAGCTTGCCAACAGTAAATCCAAGTACACACTTCCCCTTCAAATTCAAGTGAAGCCATACGTGCTCTACCATGTGTGGCATGCTCTATTTAAAATCTTAGAGCAGCTAAGGCTGAACTAACTAATTTCCCAGAGTTGATTAGACACATTTATAGCAGTAATAACAATGCTTCCTACGTAAAGACAACAAGCAGTAATTCATGGTAAATGAACACCTACCCACCCCTCTACTGAAGCTGCCCAGCTACTTCCTCAGTGCCTACAGTTGAACTCTTTCCTACAGGGCCCAATTCAGGCTTAACCATAAGAAAACTCTCATAGTCCTCAGATAAAATGTGCAGACAAACTCATTCTACTTTAACTACTCCCATGAGCAAAGGGAGAAGCAACTGGATACATCTTAAAGAGATTATTATGAGCACTATGTTACACCAACAAATTGGCCAGCTTGGGGTGTGGGGAAGGACAGGACTCCTGAAAGAAATATGTGCTATGAGGCTGGAAGGATGCTTATCCACCAGGCCTCCCAGACTAAGAAAGACAGCACTCCACAATCCTCCATGGAAGGCAGAAAAGCAAGAGAGGGCAAATGGGCTCCTAGAAAAGAGAATCTTCTTTGTTTCAGCCCATATTTCCCCTCAAAACCCCCCAAACAACCCCTCTCAAAAAACACAAACAAAAAACCCAAGCTCCCCAAACCCAATCTTGTCTGTGATGTTACTGTGCTGAACGATAACTGTCACTTGTTCCCAGTTGATTCAGGAATATTAAGAACAACAGATGCCTCATGCACAGCAGTTAAAACCACTGAAAAGAGTAAATTGTGTCCAGCAATTTCAATTACCTGACCACAATCATCAACACCTAAGAGCTATGAACAAGCTGTCCTGAGAAATTATGTTAGAAATTACCTAGTGGACTGCATTTGCCTTGTAGTCTCTGGATCCTCAAACATCTTGACAATAGGTTCAGTTTCAGCTTGAAGCTGTTTCAGCTGTGCGACAACAGTTGTTCTCTTCTCACGCAAAGCTAAACACACAAACAAAAAAGATTTTAATGTAACGCCTTAAGTCTTTACAGAAACCAGACTGTAATTCCACAGTGCTGACAGCACATTTGTACATGTCTTTCCAATTCCCACCTCACTTGTCCTCTCAGTCAAGTCACAAAACCAGAAGTACCTAACAATTCATTAACTTAATAAAAAGCTTCTAACACGTGGTTCCTTTCATCCTGTGTGGAGTTCTAATCAAGAACCTAAAGAGCAGGTATAGCTGGAGCAGAGACTGCATTAGACAAGGTTATCTTCAGGCTTTCACTAAGGGAGAAAAAACCAAGCAAGTTCACTTGTTCCAAATAAACTCTGAAAAAAGTACACAGTGCTACTAGGGCACCAATAAGTTTGATTTTCCTCTAACTGACCAGGTTCTGAAAGCACATTTTTAGAACACTTAATTGAAAACTGACAAGAAGAATTTAGAGCAGCTAAATCTGCAAAATGCATGCCTAATTGGAACATTAAACCTTTTATGAAAAACTGTTAGGAAACAGAACTAACAGCTTCAGGGTGATTATTTTACACAGACCCAAACTTCCTCATTGAGTGCTACCAGTGAATAAAATTCAGAAAAGCCTATATGCTTAAAAAATTCCTAGAGAAAAAACAGCAGCACCCTGAGATTGGCTAATAGCCAAGAAACATATCACATCAGAGAAGCCAAGACCAAAACCCAAGGAGAGAACAGCATGCAGGAAACCATGAAAGTGAGCCACGCATCAGGACACTCCATGCCACAGTGAGCATATTAGACATTTCTTTTGTGATTTCACCACATATGTACTTGTAAAAGAGATCCAAAGTGTCTAACACCATAATGGTGACCCAACCTAAACCTAAGGATGACTTGCCTGATAGAAAGTGTTCCAATAAGGAGAAATTATCTCCAACTTCAGATGCATCTTGATATTATAAAATAGGAAGGGGAAACAGATGAAAGAAAAACCATTCAGTTGACTTAGTAAAAGTACAAAAATGTTTTCCTGTGACATTTCCTGTCTGTGTAATTGTAAGTTCATCACATGGAAGACAAGACCAAAGCACCTATTTCTAAGTTATCATAATATGAGTGAACTTAGCTTTGAGTACTTAAAAAAACGAGGTCTTGACAAAAAAAGAAAAAAATCAGCATAAAGTTCTAATGAAGCCAGTGATTCCACAAACAAAAGAACCTGTCTGTACATACATTCCGAAGTGTTGATGTATGAAGATGACACACACGAGAAAGATCAAAGACAGACCTTCTCACAGACAGCTAGCTGTACAAGCAAGCACCCTGAACAACTGACTCCGTGTTAAAGTATTACCTCTGCTTAGACCAAACTACAGCAAGTCATCATACAAAAATGCAAATCCTGCCAAAATTATGATGTAAAATCTTAGAGATGTTCAAAAAGAGTACAAGAAAAACATCACAAGTGTGGAAATTGTTGGACTATACGAAGGCAGAGCTCTCCCAGTGACCAAATTAATTCAACTTACTTGCAGCTATGACCCTACAAAATTATACGCTTAGTAGCCTGCTTAAATAAGCGGCTGTAATCAGGATACTAAAGACATTAGACTAGTTACTTTGTTGAAGTGTGCTAGGATTCCTATTTCTTGTGCTGTTTACTACTTTAGCATTTTGCTACTTATTTACCACTGATAATAATATTCTTCAACAGTTTACAAAGGCTGGACCAAGGAAAGAAAGACGAAAACCTATGCAGCTTTGAGATTTTTACAACCCTGAGATGGTCTGACTTTAATTAGTAGAACTAATAAGTAACCTAAACGTGAAGCTATCATTACAACTGTTTCTTAGACGACAAAAGCGAAAACCTCTGGTTCTTATTTGTTATCAGTCCTACGCATCATTGCATATACACCCATACACAACATCTAATGTCAGCATATCAGAGATTTGATCAAAATGGTGAATCCAACAGCCATAAGTCCATCAGTTCTCTTCCTGTATTTCCAAAGAGGCTGTCAACTCTCCAGTTTAAAGAGCCTGAGAAGAGTAAGACCGAAAGGGAGAACAATTGGATCTTGTACTTGACTACATAAAAGCACCCAAGTCTTCTCCTCCTAAGCTTCAGGAAAGACAGACTGTAGTCCCACCAGTTTAGAAAAAGGTGAGGAATTCCACACAATGAAAAAAGATGGAGAAATAGGAAGAAAATGTATATTCAAAGACTAGGGCCAGGAAGGAAAAACAAACAAACACAAACCACCAAAAGAGAAAACCAACCCAGAAATAAAAGAACAACAGAAAACAAAAGCAAAAACCCCATGAAGGACAGAAATTACAGAAAGCAAGATACTCTAAGTTTCTCCCACTCCCCAAACACTCCTTGGGAGGATAGAAATTTGAGAACCAAACAGGAAAGTTTCCAAAATCATGAAGAAGACAGTAAGAGATTAATTTTCATATTCTTTATGATAATACTAATTATCATTTATTCTCTTCTAAGGAAACAGCAATTTATACGTGGACAGAAGTGAGGAAAACATATTCCAAAACCATCTGAATCTCCCCAAAGTCAACCATGGACAGTCAGATTAATGGAATTACTTAGAAAGGAAATTTAGCCTTAATATACTGGGGGCTTTGAAGAAAAAGTTTAGTGACCTCAAACCTTTGTGCAACAGTGTTCAATTTGACCAATGAAAAGCAAGTTTGATTCTGCTATACCTTTAAAGTGCTAGAAATTACCAGATCAGTACTGAAACACTTCAGATGTCACCCAACGACTAAATTCCTGATCGACCAACAAACCCAAACTTCCCAGGATTAGGAAGTAACTGCATATCCTTTTGTTAAGGCCAAAGTTAAACAGTATTCTAGTTTTTTAGCGCAACGAGCAAACTACCACTAGCTATTTCCTATTTACAAAAGTTGTAAAACAAGTTTTACTTCTACAAGAGCAGCTTACCATGTGGAATTTCATCAGAATAAAGATTTTTGTACACATCCATAGCAAAATCCACCATGTTGGTATCACTAAGGAGATCCAGTTTTCCTTGGAGTAGCTCTTTTTCATTGTATATCTGAAACAGACATTAACAACAGATTTTCTTGAGTACTATTTAATAGTTTCCGATTCATATTATGTAGTTACCTCTATGGTAGAGTTTATCTATAGATTTTTCTCCAATTAAATAGTTTTAAACATCAAATCTCATTAGCTTTGCAAGATCACCCAGCTCTGTCCTTTAGTGTGCTTACTATACAGCCTTTCTACATTTCCAGTCTTGGCAAGATACCAGTAATTTGGTGCTATTTATGAATGCAGGAACTTGAAAAACTAGTTAGAAGACATATAACATTTTAGACTACCATTCCTTTAGCAGGCATAGTAAGTCCTATTACAATTCATGGGGGAAAAATCCAACATGAAAAATCTCTTAGAATTATATATATTTATGTATAAACATACATATTAAAAAAACCCCTTGATCACATTTTCCTTTCAAAGTAGTGAATAATTTCCACAAAACAACATGCTGAATAGTGCAGATCAGTCAAATAATTTAAAGTGCATCTCAAAATATATACTCAAGAAAAAACTTACAATTTAGCTGTAGCACAGACTAATCTAAAATATATTGTTAGGTCTATAGCACACAAGGAGCTTTAGTTTAGCTTCTATAATTGTGTGATGCTCTTTTAAACCTGTCAAATTGTTTTTAAAGTTCCTACCCCACAATTTAGCCATGAGTTGTAAACTGCTGTTAGGTCTTCCAGATCCAGGAAGGGCCTAAACTAGAGTATACCTCAAAACTACATCTGCATGAAGGCTGTACTACAACTCACCACACCACCTTTATGGATATCTCAGACACAGAACCTGCAAAAGTTTAATTCAGCTCTGACCACCATGTTGTTCAAGACTAACACTACAACTCTGCTTAATTAACTTGAGCCAGTTCACAAATGCCAAAATACCAAAAATGACCCCAAGATGACTGACATCAAGTAAGGTCTGTACACTAACCAAGAAAACTGGTTAGGTCAAGGTGTCTCAATGTGCTTAGCTAGTTTATTCTGAAGCCTAAAATAATACCTACTTTAAAAATAAAAGCTTACTTAATTTTACACATTTTTTGTTTCCCTTTTATAATGGATCAGATGATTGCTTCAGACAGTTCGGGCTGAGGAGAGTTCAGTTTGAAGTACCTCCAGCATCCTCGGGTTCCTTATAGCACAATAACTACATGTACATATATAAAAAGAACAACATGGGACAGCACTACAAGGAGCTTAAACATAGATTCGTGATGACAACGGTTCAAGATTATAACTGGTTAGCAACACGATCGACACCGACGCAAGCCCACCCCCCGCCCTGACACAGGGCTGGCTCCCGCTGCCGGAAAGCAGGCGGAAAACCAACCGGGGCTCTGAGGGCAAACTTCTGCTTTTCCCTCCCCCCAACAAGAGTAAGGGAAGGAAACCAACATCCGAGGGCGGGGAAAGAGGAGCTCCCCTCTGCCTCGCAAGGGAGCAGCCCGGGGAGCAGCAGCTGCCCCAGCCT